GTTGAAATGCTAAACTCTGCAGCAAACATCTCTTTCTCGCCACTTATCTCGCAGATAGCAATCTCCCGCAGAAGTCGCCTTTCCCCCACCAGTTGGCCAATAAAAGCGCTTCAAGGCTCCCACTTTTTTGTCCCAGTCGCAGACCAAGTCGAAATCGAAATCGAGGTCCACCTTGGCCTGTCTCCAGTATTTTTGTATTTCTGCCTCGTTAATGTGTCACCTCTGAATTGTGTCTCCGCGGTGGAAAATCGGACGTGCACTAGTTTTCGCCTCGGTTTATTTTTATCTCTCCGCGTGTCAGCGACAACACAAAACGCCGACTCCTGGCGGCTCCCAGTAGTGGCCACTGTACAGTGTCCACTCGCCGCATGCACTGCCCCCGTTGATCAAACGAAAATGTCAACCCAACTGACAGTTTGACAAATATTGACGACGCTTCGCGCAAGGCGAACCTCACGACGACTGGCTTGCTCCACTTTGGAGGTGCCTGAGATGGTGATGGTGGCGCTGGCTCTGGATCTGGACCTGGACCTGGCTACCGTTCCCGTTCCCCACAGGGTAATTAGTAGCCCCTGGTGGACACTCTGGACCCACTTCGCCGCCACTTGCCACCGGTGCAGGTGCTTTGATCTCCGCCGGATAGCCGGATAGCCGACCAGTTGGTCTGCTTAAAGTCTGTTTTATTGGGGGAAAGGCCAAGGATTGCGGATTATGTGTGTTTTATTAGGTAATGCAAATGTGCTGCCCATTCGGCCGACGAGACACTCACTATGGAGAAAAATGTAGCTTCGACTAATACAGTGGATGGCCTTAGAATGTACTAAACATATTTTATTTGCTTGGAAAGATATGCATTTGAAAGGCTTTTTGCTTTCTACAAAAATGTGCTTTAGGAACAGCTGCCAGTTTTTATGATTCCAGATTCACAGATTGCGGACTTGTAACTATATATTGTAAGTATATATTAGAAACTGCGAGTTAGCACAGTCGTAACTGGTCCATTCTCTGATTAGCCACTGTACTTGCTTGCCTGTTTGGCCCACTTTGCGAAGTGCGGCATTTGGCTTTCGGATTGGCGATCTGCGATTTGTATCTGCGAGATACAAACATGCTTTTAGCAGCATTATAAACATTTTGTTGCCCAACATTTTTGCTACTATTTGTCATCGCTAACGCATTCCGCGAATCAAAATTTCGAGAAGGGGCATTTTCGGGGATCTTTAATTGCTTTTGATAAATCGCCGCTTAATCCGCTTAAGTATTTCGCCGGGGTTTTATTTTTGACTAATTTTTCAGTGCACTAATTAAACAAAGGACACACATCTTAAGCCCACCACATGAATGTGTTTTTATGCGCGGGCCTCGAATAAATTGGAGTTTGTCTGATTGGATTCGGATTGCTACGTAGTCGGGGTCTGATTGGGCTATGGCTAATTAGCGTGGGGGGCAATCCATCATCGGGCAAAACACCGCATCATCACTTCCCCATAAAAGACTTCACAACAAACTTCCCCATTAATTCGGCATTAAATTTCATTTTCAATTGTGGCCGCAACTGGAAACCAAGTCCAAATCGAATCGGATGAATCGATTATTGGGCAATTTCGAGTACGGAAAAAATTACAACGTGTCCATTAGATTATTAACTTGGCTCGAAAGGCCGAAAACCTGCTGAGCGGCATGTGTGCTCGGCCTTTGGGAATCGGAGTTGGCTCATTAAAGCGCTCCAAACTGAATCGGAGTCGGCCGTCGCGCCTCCTTAGTTCAATTATAAAGCAATTGAATTAGCCTACGAGTATCCAAATGGCTCTCTGATCCCCGACCAATCCATCAATCAGGTAATCCAGCGATTACGCAACTCCAGACTGCCAATTTTGGCGCGTGAGTATCTTGGGCTAATTGAAGGCGAAGTACGCGGCGGCGTGATGTGCAAATTTCGGTATTCGATTTCGGTGTTTTTGTGTGGAAACTGGGTTACCGGCTTAGTGGGTTAAATAGGCCGCACGGGTTAAGAGGTCCGCACCACGGGGAGGCCCCCGAAATTAAATTTCGCAAGTGCCATTGTTTGCCATTTTGGGAGCCACCAATTGCAAGCCAATTAAAACACACATATTTCTAAACAACACCTTTACTGGTTTTCATCTCTTAGCTATCAACTTACATTTACACACTTAACTAAACGATGTTACTTCTCCATTTCATCGTTTAGTATCCCACATACTCGTTGAATGTGCTAAAACCTCTTCAAATCACACATGTGTTCCTTCGCCTCTTAATTCCCTCTTAATTATTCAGATGTTCACAGTTGGTAAACTAACAGAAATACGTGTATTTTTCGTATTCCTTGGATGGCATATTGCGTGCCTCGATGGAGTTAAAACTTTGACCACCTTTCAAAGTCCAGCGGCACGTGCCTCATAAAAAAACATAAACTTCAGTGTCGACAAAATGCGGCGTAATCATTTGCCAGTGAAATCGGAGGTGGATGGGGTTCCCAAGTTCCCTGGGTCCATGTGCCATTGGAAAGTCAGACGGTCATAAAAACAACCCCAGAGGTCAAACAATTTTGTGGCACAGTTTTAACACCTTTTAGACCGGCTCACGAGCCAACTGTCCGAAACTGTGGCGAAGGATCCTCGAAATATTTATGGGAAATGGGTATGGTATCTACTAGGATAACAGGCAGGACACTGAAAATACAGCGGGTATTTGATGAGAAAAAAGAAAAAAGAAGCTTAAATAAAAGTTTTATAGTTCCGTCTCTAACAACCTATAAGCTATATCTTTGCTATATTATTTGATATTTTAATGAATCCAAGTATAAATTCAAATGCTGGCTAGCATTGTTTTTCCCAGTGTATGCATGCATTTTAATGTATTTTCCGAGTCATCCGATGTTGGTCAGAAATCGTGGCAGGACACGCGACCCCGAGCGCATAATTTAATTTTCAAGGATCCCCAGGACGAACCGAGGGTTGGTAAATGCGAGGGACGTGCGTGTGACATATGGTTAATGAAAACGTTAACTGATGATAAACTGGCGAACTGCGGACGGAGGAGTTTTCCTACAGTCCCTCTGCATATTAGTTCCTGACATTATCATTAATTAGCGACGGAAAGGGGCCACAAAAAGGCGATAGGCGTAGTGTGATAAATGTTGGTCGCTCTTGAATTTAGCAACATTTAGCATGCAACAGTCGCAGCCGACTTCCAAATGGGTTCTATGTTGCAGCACCACAACTGCGCCTGGCAATCCGACGTCCAACGCATCTTCCGCGGTGAGTCAGTTCGTGGGCTTTAATGTGGCCCCGGTTTTCGTTTTCGTTTTAGTTTTTGTTTTTCTTTTATTTTTGTTGCTCTTGGCTAATGTTTTTCGCCCGGCCGCCCATGTGCCGTGTGTTTGGAGGTTTCTGCGACACTACATGGCTCAAGGTACTGCCACTTTATTGGCTTGCTACGTATATTAATGCAGACTTACTTAGGCTTTAAAGAAACGTTGTGAAAATATTTTAAAACTCTATACGGCTATTTATTTCAAGATACTCAAAGGTATTATTTTGAGCCTTTTAGAGTGTATTTACACACGCGACTTTCTTCGGCAAGTCTTGGATGGTTGTCTTTAAGTTGGTTTCTTCCATGTAATTGGTCTTTGTTTGCCATTTGATGTCATGTTCTCTGGGCTTTGGGTTCTCGATGCTGCGGGGTTGTGTAGGCTGCAGGTTGTCTGTCGTCTTTTTATTTTAATTTTTTGCGTTTTTTTCTTACTTAACTCACAACGATTGTGCAACACGCAATTGCGATTGCTTTCATGGGCGCTGATTTGCCGCTCGCTGGCTGCCATTTGCATGGAAATGGAAACGTTTGGCCAAATTACGCGTGCTCTCGGCTCAGCTTATGGCCAATATCCCCCTTTTCCCCGCCCCTGGTCGCGTTTATTCGCGCTATATTGTTGTAAATTATTGCGGCTCCTTTGCAGCGCCCAAGCGGATGTGCGCAATTTAGAGAGCTGCTTGCGAGTGTTAGATTGTCACTCGAATGTGACTGAGGTGTTGGCCTTACTTGGGGCCTAACTTATGGTACGATTCACATACTCGTACATAAGAAACTGAACAAGTTTTCAGGTCATTCAAACCCTTCCCTGTAGCATTCCAATGATTAAGCTTTATAATTTTGGTAATTATAACTGCAGTCATACGAAGAAACAGAGGACGTATAATGCATTTTTCATTTACACAACAATTATTAAGGTATTGACTCAAGAAGATGACACTATAAACTGATCCACCTTCATAAATACCATGCCTTCGAGAATGAGGCTACTCCTCCGCGCAGTAGCTATCAGTTTAATTGAGATTGATTGTGGCCAACTTCCGTTCCAGTGCCCATTGCGAGTACATGAGTACATTCCCCAGAAGAACCGATACTTGCCCCCGATAAGGGACTCTGTGTGGGCACCAGTCGCCCCGTGACATCTGCGACTTCTGGGGTCGACCAAGATTTATGGCTCCTGTCAGTCGCGTCCCTTTTCGCTCCTGTGCCACACTTGCTCGTCTCACACATTTGCAGTTGCATTGATTTTTGTCACTTGGGGCAGCCGCATGCGATTGGCATCGCATCGTCGCGTGCCCCACAATTAATCACGTGTATCCGCGGGCATCGAACGGCTCCTCCGCCTCCGGGACAAGTATCGAGTATCTGTATCGAGCTCATAAACGACAATCCGCCTGATATATGAAGAGTGATGTCCATTCGCCGGCTGCAGGAAGCGATTGTTCATGGTGCCACCGCACTCGCAGATGCCAATCCTTCTACAAAAAATGTTAAAACCGTTTAAGCTCTCAAAAGAAAGATGGTTCTACAGTTTTGCTTGAGTTAGGGAAACACATTCGCGTAGTTTCTTACTATCATCAGTCAGTTTCTTGCGTTAACATTAACATTTAACATTGTCCAAATACCAGTAATATAAGATCTAACATTTACAATTACTACTTTATCCCGACTCAGTGGAGAAAGTAGTTGGCAATACGCAGGATGAGGGACATGGCTTTGATGGGGTCGAGGCCCATTAGGGTGTCTATTTCGGGGTTCACTATCATGGCCATCACAATCAGTCCGCTGATGTCCTCCGGAACAATCACGTTTCTTCCCACTTGTATGCAAGTGTACCGAACTCGTCGCGGATATACTAGGCGAACCATGGGTATTTGCAACATTACAGAGTGAGCCCAGGAGTTCGCATTGGACAGATTCAGCGGCAGGAATGGTCCACTTCTCGAATTTGGTAAGGCAGGTCCGGAAACAATGTGAATGTCAGGCATGACACGGCTGGAGTTCCTCAGTTCTCCCTCACTGGTATATCTGGTATCCAGAAAGAAAAGCATTCGCTCGGGTTTATTTGATGGGTTTCTAAGCAGTCGCTCCACTTCGTCACGTTGAATACGTTCATTGCGTCTAGTTTCTGGGAGCATGGTGGAGCAACTAAAATATGTATGTATTTTTTGCCATAAAATTCAAGAGATTTTCTTGCCGTCTGGAATTTCCTTGACTTACGGGCCTTTCTATCACAATTTCTCACTGTACAACACTGTACAATCGAGATGACAACGAATCTCAGTTTTCAAATTTGTGCACAGCGTGACCGCGTTTATAAGTTCCTTTAAATTTGCAGTTTAAGTTTGAAATTGCCTTGTGATAGTACGAACGGGCTTAGGAAATATACACAGTCATATTTGCTGTTTAAAATGTCAGGTGAACGAACACCTTATCACTTCTGGCCAAATCGTAAAAACAACGATCGATCTAAATGGGCGATAATGGCTAGGGTTGCCAGCCCAAGCGTCAGATCCTCTCACTGTGCAACACTTGAGCTGCCAAGGCTGCCACCGAAGGATAGGATTGCCAGCTTTCGGCGCTAAATATGGTAAGTATGGTCATTAGTTTTGGCCGAGCACGACTTGGCTTATTCGCCGTTGGCCACTTTTTGGCCATTGAGCCTGTTTGCGCCTGATTATTATTATGCTTATGCTTATGCTTATTATTGCAAAAAAGCGATTCCGCGCAGCTGCAGCTCATTTATTGTTGTTGTAGGTGTTCAATTAAATATGCAAACAGTTTCGCAAATGTGTCTCGACTTGACCGAGTTCAAAGTCAGCTTGCCAGCGCATTTGCAGCGGAGTCTAGACTTTTGTCTTTTTACGCTGCGAAAAGTTCATTGCCAAATGCAACCGTTTTCAGTTTCAGTTTCTGTTCTCTGTTTTCTGTTTGCAGTTCGAATCGATCGGTCGATCAACTGCAGCTGCATTGAGTCACAAGCCGGGCTGAAAAGCCCAGAAACGGACAGCAGACGGCCAAGTTCCCAACCTCCAAGTGCCCAACAACTGCCAACCGCTAACAACGCTTTTTTGTGGGCGGACACTGGCCAAATGGCTTTGGATACCCTTTTCAAAGGGTGCCTTGCCTAGGCTGTTAGGGGTGGCTTGTAAAGGTGCAAGATTTATTAGTACGTATTATTGAACATAATCATAGGTTGCACCATTCGTGGGTTATACCGCTCTTCAAATATTTTAAACACTTTTACAAGAGCAATCTGTTTTCCTTACCTAGGGCATTTCCTCTGTCGGCTTCTCGCCACCTGGATATCCCCCTTTTGTATTTTCGATTTCACTGTTCTGGCTCTTATTTTCGTTATAAATTCTGGGCATAAGACCATATCGTTTTCATTTTGATTTTGATTTAATTTACGGTTCTCGGTCCGCGGACTCTCGCTCGGACACATTGAATAATGTTTGTCTATTTATAAATATGAATTATTTTGCAGCAGATTAGAGAGACCCGGGCTTTGCAGCATTTAACCACCGATCGCTGTGCGCCGCATTTTTAATTGCTAATTAATTTCCCCGACACACGAAAAACAATGAGAGTGCGCGATAAGTGCGCTTTAAGTTTTCAATTACCCAGATATCTGGGCACTGGCCACACCCCCCGTGCGCCCCGAAAAACACCTGGTTAGGCTTATTTATCGCGTTGAAATTCGCATTATAAATTTAATTTAATTATACGTGAAGTGGTGCGTGGGCGTCTGTCTCCGTCTCCGTCCCCGTCTCTGTTTATTTATTTTCCTCCTGCGGGGGAACAACTGCGAAAAGTTGCCCATACTCGCACTAAACAGCAATTAAGCTTAATTATAGTTGTCGCCGTTTTTAGCCAGCTTGTCTTGTGTTCGGCTGTCTTGTCTTGTCGCATATTGTTGTATGCAAAGCAGGCGCACGTCTGGCCAAAAGTATTGCCATTTTACCATTACACCATTTTGCCGTGGAGTGGATCGTACTCGTAGACCAGGCCAACATCTCAGACTAGTTAGCCTAGCCACGGTTCCTGTTTGGCGGTTTTCCGTTTTTTCGGTTTTCGATTTCGGTGGTTGAAGGAGGTGCACGCAGAGAAAATCCGGCCACTTACAAATTCGTTTTGTTGTCAAAGTAGTACAAAAGGTACCAACAAACTTTCAAAATGATTTATTTAATTAACTATAACCATACTAGCACACGAGCGGTGCTTACACTGAAATTTCTTGCAGTGCATGGAGCTGGATGCCCATATCCCCCTGTCCGCCTTTTTGCCAATTGTCTGTCACGATTACCAGACGGGCACGAGTGATGGCGTCTGCTGCCTCCTTTTGCGCCCCTACGCCCATGAAAAAACCAGCACCCCGGGGGGGTCCTCCCCCATTTGGCTAATGGGCGCTTTTATGTTATGGCCTGGCTTAAAATGGATGAGCCTGCTCAGGAGTTGCAGCATATGTATATATCTGCACGTATGCGAATGTGGGTTTTGAGGCACTGTGGGTGTTGCGGCAGCTGGACTCGTGGCCCAAACGAAAGTAAAAGGTGTTGCCAAATTGATGTTAGCGGTAGAGGAAGTAGGAAATGCTGACAACCATAAACCAGAGGACATCTTGTAGGTTTTTAAGACTTTGTGCGCGCTAGTAACGTGTTAATATCATTTGGAAGCTCTTTTGCAAAGAAGAAAGAGTTTTATATTTAAATAAAATTAATTAAATGGGAAAACAAGAGCGTTCACAGCTAGCATTTGGGGGCAAGGCATTGCCATTGAATATTAAAGACCGAGAAATCCACCCACAAGGAAGAGAAGTTCCTAATTATGGAATCACCTTTCGAATTGCTGAACATCTCATTCGTTTCCATTCATTTGTTATTCACTATTCACAAGTCCCTGCCGCTTCGCCCGAACTCAATCAATGTTCAGAGACGGACTTAATTAGCTGCAAATTAAAACATATTTTGTGTATATCATCATACACTCCACTGATAATTAACCAAGCTGGCATAATGAGTGCACTTCCCCTCGCTTTTCGCACACAAATTAATTGAAATCATACGATTTATCACCTCTGCGATCTGACTGAAATCGAATCAATTTCACGAGGCTTTGTTGCCATCGAACAATATCGTATCCCATGTGGCCAAGTGGGTGCTGTACACAATACCTTTGTGCGACTTACTATGTATATGCATAATATCCAGTTGTGGGGTCCCATTCCTACACGTACTTTAAGTTTATCCGCCGATCTTAGGCCAATTTAATAAGCGTTGTGGCCGCAAAGTTGAGCTGTCAGTCGGCCAATGATTAATCAGCAGGCAACGCACCACAATTGAAGAGTGGTGCTGGAATGGAATGGCACTGGATGGATATGGATGGATGTGGTTGGGGATCTGCCCGTGGATGCCAAGATGCTGGGATGAATGAATGGGGCATGCCAATGTCTCAACGCCCACGGCAACGGCATAATCGAGTACACATAACCCCAGAATTAAACATCGGAAAACAGCATTATAAAACACATATTTAGCATTGTACTGTTGAATTATGCCATCAAGAAGATAGTTTATTTATGTGCACCTAATGCATTTGATTAAATGAACTTCAACATCCGCCTAGGCCAGCCCACGAAGCATATAATCCCATAATTAATTGCTCTAAGAGTTAAGAGTTTCATAAATTTGTGATAAATCAAACGGGTTCCCTTATAAAATGTACGTATTTTTAGCTCGGTTTCTGAACTCCACTCTATAAATGAATACTCTATCGGAGGGGCAAAAGCGAAATTACTTTTATCATCGTTCCAATCAAAACAACATGACGTGCTCGAATCGAAATGCAGCCAGACAATTGAAATTATTATTGTTATTTTTAACAATTTTTTCGGGTCGCCTCCGAGGTTTGGGGAAGGGGGCCAAGACATTTGCTTGACATGTTTGTTTCGTGTACAAAATATTTTGATAATGATCGCGAGCCCAGTACAACAAAACCCAATTGAGTTCCAAGACATTTCGTTTGGCATGGGGTCACACTTATCGGGCTTACATTCTCATCTAAATGAAATTATTGTCTTTTTAGTCGATAGAAAAACTTATGACGGTCTTTGTGACGTGTGCAGCGTTTCGAATAGATCTCGAATGGGGAAAACTTTCTGTGATTTGTGTTTGCGTTGCCAGGCACGTATTGGGGAAATGTTAATAATTGTTTAAAGTCCAGGCGACGGCCATAAATTAGTGACTAGCAAATCAAGCCATGAATTGCAAATAGATTAGGCGTTTTAGTCTTATTACACTCAAGGAAGCAGCGGATGTTCAAAGTTAACCCATAAAGTGTGAAACTATAAGTGCTAATAAAATAATAAGTGTTTACGAACACTGCTTATCGATAGAAACGACAGCACTTTGCAACACTGTTGAGAGTATCGAGTGACTCATGCTTTTAGTTTCCGTAACTCCTGTGAGATTCTATTGCTCTTTCTAAATCGGCTGGCGGTGAAGTATATTTCTGTACTTATTCAGCTTTAACCCTTGTGTTCAACTACAGATCATGCCAGCACGACGAAGTGAAAGAATTGCGGCCCGCGTGGAAGATAATGTGGCTCCAAGAGACGCGTCCGATATGCGGCTGGTGGTAAGAGTTCGCCGCTTTAGCGTTGCAAGTGCCCAGTCCGACGCACCTCGAGGTCGCCTGGTACCCACTAGGGCCAGGGCCAGGGGCAGGGGCAGGCGAACTATTGCTCGTCCTCCAACTCCACTTGCAGCAAGTGCCCAGTCCGACGGACCACGTGGTCGCCGGGTACCCACTTGGGCCAGGGGCAGGGCAAGGGGCAGGGCCAGGGGCAGGCCAACTATTAGCCGTCCCCCAATTCCACATGCAGCAGGTGGCTCTACATCGGTGAGTTGCAAGGTATGCATATGTGCAATCTATTTCACTTTATACTCTGCTTTAAATTGAAGACCTCGCCAGGAAGACAAAGTGTGACAACCGCGGCACAGGGGCAACAAGAAAGCGCTACGAGTCCAGTTGCTGAGGCCACTGAAGGATCTGCTGGCCAGGAAGGGAACTCCCCTGAGTCTGGGGGATCCTCCATGGTCAGAGGAACTGTTGGTCGTCCAGCAAATCGTCAGCCAACAGAAGTAGCAGCACCTACAAATCCAGATGATGTGGCAACTGTGGTGCGCCATGTTCCACAAGTCCACTCGGCTGGTTATATGCCAATCGGAGCCGCTGCTGACTCTGATTGGTTACAAAATCATTCTGTGGTGCAAAGTCTGTTTCGCCTAGAGTGCGGAATTCCCACCCAAGGAGAGCCCCTTGCCATCACTAGGCTGCGTCGAGAGATCTCGGAGTTCTCAACCGATCAAACAGAAGGGTGTAAAGTGGAGATGGTGGGCGAGAATCTGTTCCACTGGGTAGCCACGATTCCAGGTCCCTCGGAAACCGTCTATGAAGGTGGCCATTTTAGAGTGGAGATCGTCTTTCCCAGAAACTATCCCTTCCATCCGCCCTTTGTTGCGTTCCTCACCAAGACTTACCATTGCAACATTGCTTTTTCTGGGCGCCTTTGCCTGGATATTCTCAGCTCCAAGTGGTCGCCAGCTCTGTCGGTTTCCAAGGTGCTCATCTCCATAATGTCTTTGCTGGCGGACCCCAATCCAAACGACCCCATGGAGGTGGGAATCGCAGATATTTTCAAGCGAGACCGCGTGCTCCACGACCAGCGTGCTCGCGAGTGGACCAACAAATATGCCAAGGAGTGACTGAATTAAATTTGTTTTTCAAATAAATTTATTGGATGTTTTTGTGCCAGCACTTTTTGGTGGTTTTTAAACGGTTCATACGACACTAAGATACATACGAGAGTGATATACAAATAGAATACATGGGACTACGGCTACTTAACCCACCTATGTTGCGAACTCTGATTAAACATCTATGTAGATCTACTGTTCTATATGCAAAGAAGTATGTTTATACACAACGTAATCCTACTTTAGCCTAGTTGAATTTGTGATTGTGGTGCTGAGGGTATATTTCCTTATAGTGCGGGTTAGTTGGTACAGTAGGATGTTCGTCAAGCAGGTGGTAATTTCATTTACTTAGCCTAATTCGCGTTTGAGTTAATTGAGTAGGCAATAGAAAGTGTACTCCCCACTCCCAATTGGTTAGCTGTTCCTAGAGTAGAGTGCGTACCATCTAGTAGTTAACCTTTCAACTAAACGAATTCATTTTATCTACGCTAAAGTCCTTTGGATTGTGGTATAGTTCAATTTGCAAGTTTGCAGCTGGGCCATCGACCCTGCGCCTTCCTCATTTGTTCTTGGGCAAGTGGCGCTTCATGTGGAGCGCCAGGTGATCACTCCTCGCAAAGCTCCTCTCGCAAACGATGCACTTGAAGGGTTTGGCCCCCGTGTGCTTGCGGTAGTGCCTGGTTAGCTCGTCCGACCTGGCGAATCTCCACTCGCATTCCGGCCACTGGCAGGTGTAGGGCTTCTCGCCTGGAAAACGGAAATAGAGGATCCCAAATTAGAAGGTCATCAACTTTTTTTATGAATGGCTACTAATTATACTAGGACATTTACTGTGCTTAGGACAACTCGAATTCCCTTCACCGATATTGCCGAAATAATTGAACTATAATTGATACTTTATTGGTTTGGCCATTGCAAAATGACAACAACAGAACGGCAGTTGCAGTAGTTCGGTTCACAAGTTTGCATGTTGTGGGTTTTGTTCTCTATGAAATTTATTACCATTTATGTTACCGCGGCACAGACATTCGGAAAAAATTCCTCGGTGAGCAAAGCTCTTTGTTATTGGCAGTGCTGTATGACTAATTCAGACCCTCCGAAAACCCCTCAAAGCATTCAAATGCAACATAAACACAAACATTCGTGTTCAAACATAAACCGAAATTGAATGAAATAATTATTGCGGCCGGAGATTTCTGCGCGAACTTGACATTTTTGGTTGCCGGCTATAGACATGTATTTTGTGGAGCGAATCGAATGGTTTATCCATGGACATAATCCAATTGGGTTGGTTGGGGTGTGCAGAATTCGGATTTTGGTGCTGAAAGGCAGCGATTTGAAGGGGTCTTAAAGTCAAAGGATTGGAGTTTAAGCTCGAAGATTTAAGTTGGGTAGTAAAGTTGAACTATTTATGTGATGGGGAGCTGTTTACCATTCCTGCTTTTGAAGTTTTTAGGAAACTTAATCGGAAGAAGACTGTTCTCTCCGAACTTTCCCCCATTCATGCAGTTTTCTAGCCACCTTTACCCATCTCAATATCAAGATCTCAGCCAACATCAAAGAGAGTCGACTTGTGAATGTTGTTTATTATTATTTTGTTCATCGAACAAACGCACAAATTTTGTTTGGTTTCCTTGGTCATTTTGGGGCCTCTCGAGACCAAGAGACCTCGAGTGGCACTCAGCTGACACTTTGCTGGGGATTTTCGGATAGAAACCCAATGCCCCTCGACTCGTGGCGTGACTTATTGGTTTATTTAGATCTCTTTTAATGAACTTAAGTGCTCCGAGATGCGAACATAATCGCGGGCATCGCGGGCATCGTGGGCTTAGATGGACACGTGGGGAATTTTTAATTCAAAAATGACCAGACGGCTACGGGTGAGTCACCTGGCCCAGAATGGGACATTAAAGATCGCCCGGCCGTGGGAATTAAATTTGGCAATGATCACGGCAGCCATTCAGCCGCAAACCAAACAAAACCGACTAGCGAACAAACAAAAGTTATGTAAATGTTGTTTTGTAATGTGCGATGAACGCAATGCGATAAGCGCAGCGGAATTACTTCATAATTTTACTTACAGCCGCGATAAGGCCACCGCGGCAATATAAATAAATTCAGGCTCCATCGGGGATTGGAACTCCGAACTACGGACCAAAGCCCCGGGCTCTGGACCATAAAAGACCTCCTCCAGTCTCTGGGCATAAAATCAAACTAATTTATGGCAGCGCGAACGTATTAGCAAACAAATCAGTACAAAACAAGCCAGTTCCAGACCGAACCCCACCACGAATCTGAATCCGAGCCCGAATCCTAGGGCCAGGCTGCGGATACTGGACCGCAGGCTAGAGACTGGTTGTGAGATATGGCAAATTTATGCGTTCGCCTCCTGCATAAAGATTAGTTACCAAGTGATTTTCTAATCGACGCAGCCCGATAAAAACAAAAAGCCCAAATAAAAATGACAAATTTACGACCCACGAGGTTTCATATGAAGATGAGAGAAAAGTGGAGGGGCAGAAGTGAGGAGTTTGAGGCAGGAACAAAGCAAAGGTAGGAAAACCGATTTTAGTGTAACAGAAAAGATATTAATTAAGAAAATATCTTCAGCTTATCAAAAAGAAAAAAAGAAGTTTATCATTCCGATCGCCAACTGAATTGAGTGCCTTGGTGGAGTTGACCAATAGTTTTCCTCTTGCTAATGGACCTCTTCAGTTCGCGCAAACGAAAGACTTAGGAAACGAACTGCCGCGGACAACTCAATGACTGGTAAATATTTGCGGTGGAAATCTCTCGATCTCGTCACCATTCTTTCCCCTTTAACGCCGAAAACTCTCGAATTCTCAGCCCGGCGTCGCTAATCAGCAGAGACAACAGCCTGGTGGCGCCTCAAAAATGGCATGAAAAATGTGTGTGCGCTGCGCCGAGGGGAAAATAAACGAAATCTATGAATGGCATGGGCTGGGCTTAGCCGGAACACAGCTAACTAACTCGAAAGCCAAACAAACCGACAGCCATCAGACGGTAGCAAAGCGTTTCTGCATCTCGGCCTGCCACTCGAGGAGTTGCGAAAGTCGGCTCAAATCCAATAAGCCCGGCCCGGAATTCGTGTTGGCCCGAAGCTGGGTGTTACGATCTGAACCAAATCGGAACGAGAACTATTAGCATTTTCAAGGGAACCCACTTGAGTTCGGGGTTAACCCAAAGCTGCCGACCTCTCGTTGATGGGGCGTTAACTTTATCAGGCAAGTGAAAATCAGCGCTGCGCACAAAATCATAATAATAAAAATGTTTTTAAGCCAGCGCTTAAAGTTGCGCATAAATCAACTGGTCATGTGCGATTAATAAAACGGCGGAGAGATGGGATTCTGCCATTTTTTTCCTCCTTATTTAAGTATTATTTTTCCCTCTGCTTTTGTGGAGGCATTAAACGTGTGGCCCATAAAACGAAGACAGGTGATCTCGGTGATCGGTGGGCAACGGCAACGGATCGTCAAGTGTAATCCGAGCAAGGAGGAAATGCAGGCCAAACGTGCGCCCAGCTGATGGCGTTGGCGATTGGCGATTGCTGATGTTGCAACTGCCAACTTGCAACTGCAACTGACCACAAAAGCAGAAAAACGGAAAAAAGCGAAGCCAAAGCCGCAAAAACAAACCGTACGAATCACGATTTCGCTGCGGTTGCCTCCGTGGCGCAAAAATTGAAAATGAACAGCACACAGGGAATAATTTTGGTTAGAAATGGTTCTTAATAATGGCAGACGTTATTAAAACGGAAACATATTTATACTATAAGTTCAAATGTTTTTTTATAGTTTCCTGTTTAAACTTTAAAAACTCCCCTCTATTCCTATTTTTCTAATATGTGGTAAAACTATTCTCAGTGTGTAGCACTCGAAAAAAAGGCGCTCGAAGCTCTCTGGGCCTTGGCAAATTATGTGCTGGCAACTACAAATATGAGCGCGCGAATTAATCAAAAGGCGACTGTTGCCCAACGTCCCGAAAAGCAAGCGGTGCAGCTGTTCGCCGGTGGCTCATCGGTGGTTCGGTGGTGCAGTTGGGTCAGCCTTTTGCGCAGTGGTGCACAGCCCACATGCGAGCTGAAGGATCGCAGTGCACTAATCTGAGGCAGGGGGTCAAATGCGAGTTCATCAGGTGGGTGGTTGGCTGGGGTTAGTGGGCTATCTAGTTGAGGGAACTCACCCGTGTGTATCCTTTGATGGGCCTTCAGATGAGAGCTCTTTGTGTACACCTTGGAACAACCTGAAATTAAGCAAAAGAGCAGAAAAACGAATTAGTTTTAGAAACTTTTTAAAATACCAAGTTTCGTGGGAAATGTCTTTAAACTGAACTCTTTACCCACAGAGGTTTTTACTCGACTCTAAAATGGCAATATATTATTTAAAATTTAAAGTTGTTAAAACAAGTTTGGTGCCTTGAAACCTAATATTTGAAAAGGTGTATGAGTTTTAAAACTTAATTGACATATTCGTTAAAATTATATATACCTAAATAGAATTTATTGCCCATAATTATTTATAGCTTCGAGCATCCAAAGACTATGCAGTTTTTTTAGTGCACTTGACTGCCTATTGCGTTCACCAAATAGTATCAGATGTGCAGCACATTGAGGAGTCTCGAGTATCAAATTCCGATGCAGAAGCCATTCCCATAAAGTGGGTCAGTGGGCGTGGCCTTTTAATTAGCGGGTGAAAGTTGCACGAGATTCACTTGTAACTTGGAACCTGGAAGCTGGAAGCTAGTAGCGAGTGACATTTATGAGGCATTTACCAGCGGCGTTATTAGTGCCCCTTTCCCAAAAAAGGATTTCCCGGGGATCTCCGCACGTACGGCTCTAATTGAAAGCTGCCCAAACAACGTGCCACGAAACACAATGCCTCGCTGCCAGTGAAGAATGCTGCTGACAAGCAGCAAGTTGCAGCAGCAACTGGCCTGCAGTAACCAGCAACATGCAACCAGCAACCTGCAACTCGCAGCGATCGTCGACAGTTAGACAGTTAGAGATACTGAAAAGCACTGCCGAATCGGAGGAACTCCTCC